GTCCGTCCGGGGATTATTCAGTTGCAAAGTCCAGTGTCGAAAAAGAGGTCAGTAAACTTACAAATATCAGTCCAGTAATATATCTCCTCGCAGTAGAGATATGTAGAAGTCAAACCTCCTTTCTTCCTTCGAAGTTCAAAAACTCAGCAGCAGGGAACACACAGTTAGCAAACCATCAATCCAGCTTTCCAGCAGGTTCTCTTGCTCCCTCTTATGGCGGTTTCACAACCACACCCAAAATTACATGCTTTGCAGTTTAAAGTGACACACACTTAAACTTACTATCATAGTTTATATATATTATTTTACCCAAACTATGTTAGGTAACCTTGTTATTCCTAACAAGCATATTGGTGATACCTCAGTCCATGGTGACGGATGATGTCACCCAGCAGCTTCGTGTAAGTGTTGAACAATAGCAGAGAGAGTACCGAGCCCTACGGAACCCCGCAAAGCAGTGGGTGAGGGCTGGATCTCGCCCCTCCTGTCAACACTGACTGAGCAGCCACAGGAAGTGAACCAGGATAGCACAAGGCCTCCCACTCCCATCCCCCAAAGCCGCTCCAGGAGAATACCATGGTCGGTGGTATCAGAAAGCTGCTGAGAGGTCAATTAGAGCAAGGATGGATGCACTACTATTGAAATAAAACTCTGGGAATCTATTGGCCCTGATTCTTGGGGATGCTGGGAGCTGTAGTCATACAAATTGGGGGTTGCCTTTCACTGTGTTAGGTTCTCAAAATTTGTTCAGTGGACCTGTTTTAATTTTCCCCCCAATTCTCTTACAGATTATAGCCAGTCAGCAACACAGAGGTAAACGACATTGGAATTAATTTTCTATGCATGAGTAACATGTTTATTTTGTTTGTGGGTACTGCCCATCTCTCTTAGAGTTTTTGATATATCATGCATTCAATAGGCAATCGTTCTTTTCTATAAAAATGTGAAGATGTTCTGGCAATGATTTGTTTAGAAATCTGATTCATAAAATCAAACTTGTGTCTTGATTTGCATTTAAACTGTACTAATAACCATAATTCCTTGCAAATAATATGTCTAGACCAGTTGCTTAAAGAAAGTTGCTTAAATGAACAATCTTAACTATCAACTGCAACACAATTCAGTGTGTATCAAATGCATTAAAACAGTGTGTATCCACATAAAAACATCTTGTTCATCCTTAGCAGGGGTGGGATCCGACCGGTGTAACTACTGGTTCAGTGATTTCTGTTTTGATGATTTCTGTTTTGATGATTTATGTTTATGTTCTATGTCTGGTGCTCTTCAGAGCTACTGGTTTTACAGAGCTGGACAGAACCAGTAGAATGCCACCCCTGATCCTTAGGGAATATTGCTTAAAATTTCATTTATTTTAGAAGATTCATTACATTTCCCAATGCAATTTGACAACAGGATGAACCCATAATGCTCAAATTTTCAGGGGCTGTTAGAAAGTCATTAAATTGTCCAAAGATAGAGAATATTAAAGCTGTTTTTAAAATAGGCTTAATATAGTGCTTATTTCTTTAGTATTTACAGTACATTTTCAGAATTACACAGCACAGTTCCCACATTTGTGGGGTTATCAGCCACCTTGGAAATAACACCTGCAACTTCTGTAATTTAAATGGAGCACACTAGACATACAGTGAAAAGCAAAAATACAGTCTGAAAGTTCATTGTGGAAATAAGTTCCTTGGCTGATTTTTATTTCCTCTTTTTCATTAGTTATGGGGCCTACCCAACTCCACCCCCACAAGGTTATTCTCAACGAACTAGCCAGCCATATGGACAGCAGAGTTATGGTGGCTATGGGCAATCAGGAGATACTTCTGGATGTGGAAAGGGAACTTCACGAAGACAGTAGTGTCACTCAAACAGGAAAAGCCCAAGGGGAACATCAGGCCAGCCATAAAACAAACTTACATAGGAAAAGGAATCAAATAAAAGGTATTAAAGAATCCCTATAGACAAAAGCCTAAGTAATTAAGAAAACTAGACAAATAAGAAAAGGAAACCCTTACAAACACAGGACAGAACAAATAAGCAAAACAAACAGACAAAAGACACAAAAAATATAAATTACAAAAAGAGACAGACAGGAGATTGCCACAAAACAAATATGAAAAAACCATTATAAAGCTAAAAGAGATTAGAAAAAACCGATAATACAATCTAACCACCCCGCGGAGTTTGCCTTCCGCACCCCGCGGAGTTTGCCCTCTGGCAGGAATAAAGACAAACTCAAACAGGATTTGAAACATTAAGCACAAATACAAACATTCACATGAAATCAACTCACAAAGGGAGAAAAGGGTATAAAAACCAGGGACTTACCATAAGAAGTCAGCTAGCCCAGGAACGCAGACTTCTCACTGTCCACCGCCTTCCTGAAAAATAAAAAGATCCAGCTTTCAAGCAGTTGTCCATATCCTTGCACCGGAGCGCTCCCAGCGGGAAAATCGAATCCTTGGAAGAAAGGCATTTTGACACCTTTCAACATGGATATGGCCAAAGTAGTTACAGCTCATCTTATGGCCAGACACAGGGCTGTGAGTACACTAATCTTGTTTTTGAACTTCATAACTACATAACATGAAAGATCAGCTGAGCTGGGGGAGATGAGTGATTCTGGCTTGTCAGTTCTGTGATACACCAACATACAGGCTTGGTTTATAGAGGCAAAAATATGAAAATGACGCTGTTGCATCCCATCCCATGACAGTGTTTGGTGATAACTAATGGAATTTCTTTGCTTATTAGCTAAAATTACAGAAATTGATTTGGGATTAGGAAAATGACTATCTGTAAGGTTGTGAGACCTTTTGTATTTCCTAACTTGGCAATAGTATCTGTTCATTAAAACATCTGTGTGGAGTACTTCAGAAGCAAATGCAGCACCCTTCTGAGTTACTAAAGCAACCATGTCATTTTGCAGGATGATATAGCTCTTGTTGGCAGGCTGATGCAGCTATGCCGTGTTGGCAACAAATATATCTCCTTAACGGGTTGTAGACAGGTGTTGTGTTACATGCTTCTGCATATTCCAAACATACCTTCTGAACCAAATACAAACTCTAGCATTTAATTCAAAGCAATAAGTAATGGTGGGAAATCCTGCAGGCATTGATATGACACCAGATATGATGCTGATTTATTGCTAACCCTTCCCCCCCCCTTTTTTTTGAAAAAAAAAATAACAGCTGGATATGGCACTCAGTCCATACAAGTTTACAGCTCATCCACAGCATATGGCACCAGTCAGACTTCACAGTCATCCTACGGACAGCAGTCATCTTATCCCAGCTATTCTCAGCAGCCAACCAGCTCCAACACTGGAAGGTAAATGCTAATTGGTGGGGGGCGGGTAACTCCTGATTTTTTTCTGTTCAGAGATGTGCAATGGGCTTGGAGAGGGGAACCTGAAGAATCCTTATAGGATAAAGCCAGTTTAATGGACGTACTTTGTATGAGGCTAGAGTAGTTTTATTTATGTTTGTTCTTTTGTGAAATCTGCAGTTATGGCACCAGTTCCCAAACTCCCAGTTATGGGCAACCCCAAAGTGGGGATTATGGCCAGCAGTCAAGCTATGCCAGCCAGCAGCAAAGCTCTTATGGGCAGCAACCTTCCTACAACCCACCTCAGAGCTACGGCCAACAGAGTCAATATGGCAGCAGCAGCACCAGTGAAGGAGGAGGAGGAGGTGGCAGCGGCGGTTGTGAGTAGATGTTCTTTTCAGCTCATTGTCGTTTGGTTCATTCATCTGGCTTCATTTTGATTTAAATTTTGGCAAAGGGGAAGTCTATGGAATACAATCTGTTAGTGTTTGGGGATAAACCCCCAAGCAGAGTATGCAGCAGCAGTC